TATATATATATATAATTATGTATAGAGAGAGAGCAAAAAAGAAGCATTCATGCAAAACAGTTTGAAGAACAATAACTAATACCATAAGAAACAAAAAGTTTCTAATAGTTTAACATTTTCTCAAATTAAGTACTTGCCTTCTCCAGTCACCAGTATCTGATTATCCAGCTCTTGAACATCTACAGCAATAGTCAGAGCAGAAGACAGACATAAAATTGCACAAATTATTATCTGTAGTGGCATCATGATCTTCCTGAAGTTAACAGTGAAGAGCTCTGAAATACTGCAGTTGCTGCCTTTTGTAGTGGTGATGTGCTCTAAAGCAAAGCAGAGTGTGACTCTGTTAGGACTGAGGAGGAAGCCCCTTAATAAATGCTATGAGAAAGCCAGGTGAATCAGAAGGGAGCTGCTGTATTGCTCAGTGGTAGTATTCTGTACAATATGATGTTACGTAATAGCAGTCATTTTGGGGGTGGAGGCACTGGAGGTAAGGCAGTTACACAAGCTTTCCTTAATGGCTCATGTGGTGGGTGGATTTAGCCATGCAGTCAAACGTGCATGGGGGTAATATAAATCTTTGGGGAATATCAAATAAAAAACATCAGGGATCTTTCTCCACTCCATATGTGCTTTACAATTTCCTCTCTTGCTCCATGCCTGCTGCTCAAGTCTGGTGTGTTTGTTTTCTTTTTTCTTTTTCTAGTCGTTAGGGGAAAGTTAGAACCTAAACTGATGCTCACATACATTTTCAAATGTATGTATTTTCATTTATTTATGTGACTTTAATGTGCATGTGATATTATCACAATTACCAGAACAAAAATTACATATTATGGATTTTTTCAAGGTTTTTTTATTGTTAATAAAATGTAATATATGTACTCATATGTTTGACTAGCAAAATCTGCCTGTTCTTTAAAGACGAACTTTGACATGCTAGGAGAACATGAAAAGTCAGCATCTAAAACTACACATACTTACCAGCCCATGAAGTCCAGCACATTCTTCCATGCAACCTGTTCTTCTCAGGGCTCTTCCAAGCCGCAATCTTGGATTCTGATGACTAACAGCAGGACCTCTATTGTGTATGTCCATGGTTCGCACTGCAAGCATACTGGTCCTGTACCCTCCCGGGATTACCTATTGGTTACGCTTGTCCCTTAAGTGGAAAAAAAAAATTACCCCATTTTATTGCTCAACATGTGACCACTTGGTCAGCTCTTCTCTTCCACCTCTGAGGGCTGGTGGCGGAGTTTTAAAATGAAAGTTGGCCCACTCCGGAGACTCCGCCTCTCTGTACACCCCTGCTGTATTACATAGTTACATAGTTACATAGTATTTGGGGTTGAATAAAGACATACGTCCATCAAGTCCAACCCATATAGGTCCATGCCTCATCTCATTCTTAGGGATACTGGTATCCCTGGATATTACACTCCGAGCTCTAGCAGGTTCATATTCTCTGGCTGCTTTAGTTATTATGTCTGCCCCCCTTAATCTTATTTATCTCTTTTTTTATGTTCCCTTGAGTTTTTAACATAATTAAAGTTTTCTCCCGTATGGCACATCTTCTCATCATGTGGGAATAATATTTGAGCATTAATTTGAAAATGATGTGCCAAATCCCCATAAACACAGTAGCAATTAAACACCCCTTTATAGGGATTAGATAGCTGTAAACGAACTAATTGTATAATGTATAGTCATCCCTACAAGCCACCAGCCTAGATCATACTTAACACTACATATACCAGACAACGCTAATTCTAGACACTTGGGGTAAATAGGTTTTGTTTTGCCCAGTAATGTGTCTGATTTAGAAATTCTTCAATTTGCTCTAGTATCTGTGCATTTCCATTTAAATCATATTAGTTAGGTACTAATTGTACTACACCTGTTAATTAGTGGCAAACATATCGCTGCAGAGGAGGAGAGTTAAAGTGGAACTATAGCCATAATGGGAAAACATTTCTGGCTGCCAGACTTTTATTACAGAAGAGACTTTTCTGTCTTCTAACTCCACTCCTCCTAAACTTACCCTGAGCTGTGCACAGTAGTTCATTCATAGCTATATGCCTTGGTGCCATGATGTATCAACTTCTGTGCGCATGCGCGGGAGTTACATCATCCGGAGCCAGCCAATTAAGATGGCCAAAGTTGCCAAGCACAAAAAAGGCAGGGCGAAGATGTAAGCTCTGAAATGAGGTCTTGCAGACAAAGCATTGATGGAGGGGACGTAATTCTTGCAGACTTTAGTTCTGTTTTTTACACTGATCCTGACTGAATAAATGGTATATTTTGAAACTTGACATTTAAATGAAACCTGCACTGAGAGGATGTGGCGACAGATACTACTGACTTCTCTATCTGAAATTGCTATTTGCCTGTATAATATGCACATGCAGTGGCCTTAATACTATCTGAGGTACATACCTGAGACAAGTATACAGATCAGGAGTTCTGAATCTCCTTTGTAATATTAATATTTGCCTGGGAAAATACAGTATTGAAGTCAAAAAAAGCTAAGCAAGTAGTATTTTTTGTAAATGTGGTCAGCAATATCAACCTGTAAGAAGGTGTAACAGGGTTAGTGAAATTGACCCTACTTTCTCATTGTGGAATGGTAACAGAGGTTCTGTTCTCTGAATGGCGGAAATGTTTTCCCCAACCTGTTTTTTTCCTCAATCATGTGAAAGAAGGCCTGTTTCTGAGGTGTGAATATCATTAGGCACAAATAGCTGAAGAGTAAGGATCTCCTTTCGAGTAGAAAGAGAGCAAACAAGGCCCACTGTAGGAGTTCATTGAGATAGTATGAGATATAGTAGGGAAAGGTATAAACACCTATTTGGGAGTGTAGATTTGCTTCCCCTATATTCGGAGGCTTATAGCAAATACCCAGTTATCCTAACACCTAGGTCTCTGAACTCCCTTTTTAGGACACTCCAGTTTCCTCCTATTTTGTCATTGGTGCCGATGTGCACCATGACAACGGGGTCGTGCCCAACCCCATCCAGTAATCTGTCAATTCGTTCCGCAATGTATTGACAGCGATAATCCCTAAAGAAGCTGCTGGCAATCTACAGATAGAGATGGGCTGGGAGGGCAGACTACTAGAATGTACAGGTTGCTGTACATCATGTTGCTGAACTACCATAGTAAACTAGTAAGTATTCTGCGCACATATGTAGAAACAATAAATGGCATTCTTATATTTTTGGTTTACTGACACTGTAACTTAAGGAGAGCAAAGTGAAGTCACTGCCCTGGCTGTGTTGTCTGATAGGGTTGTGTAAATCTCAGGATTGAAATTCTTTTACTGTAAGTGACAGTATAACATCACTCCATCTGCCATCATCTCACAGCTGTATGTAAAGGCATCAAATGGACTTCACAAATATGGAGCAAAGAAAAATCAGGCACAAATAATAATTTCTACAGGTCCATCAGGGATGTAAAATAGAAGCTCCGTTAATAGGGGGATGTTAAAGTAGAAGCAAAGAAATCACAATTACTCCTGTTAAAGGTTTCTCCCCCTTTGCTCTGATCCACCTTTTAAAAAAAATTGCTTTCTGAATGCTTTTTTTACCCTTTCATTTTTTCAATGTGGTCATACTGTAGGTAGTAATGTGGAGGCTTCTGAATATCAGGGAGCCATGATATCATCCCACCAGCATCCATAGGTCTTAGACATTGTTGAGGCATTGAGAGAGAGAGAGTTGCGAGTTAGAGAGTCACGCCCAGCAGCTGCAGAGAAAGAAAGGAATGACCTGGAGGAATGGAGTTTTGTGTTCATGGTACTGCATAGAAGAAGTTTAAAAACAGGTATTTATGAAGCAATATATTAGAAAATGTATACAGGGACGAACAACTTTTTCATATAAATATGTTACTCAATTAGCACAAAGGATGTTAATCCACTTTGTGTGCAACACACTTCACTATGCTGTAAAAAGTCTGAGCAGAGGGGAGAGCTGTGGGAGGGACCCAGCAGGACCACCCATTACAGGCTGCCTGCAGAAAACTACAGGAGGGGGCGGAAACAAGACTAGCCACCCTGCACAAGGAGAGAGAACAGAAGTGATGTCATTATTACAGGAAGCTCCTGCATGGAGGAGAAGTTTCACACTGGATTGCTATACAGATCTGGAAAAAATACATAAAGCGCACCAAAAATCAAGTAAAACATACACATGCCTGTTATATTTAGACAGTTTGTTTCAGGATTTCAGCTTTAACGAGTCATAGATGGCTAAATGAGTACAGCAGCTACAATGTTACGTTGTCAGTTTTTAAATAGAAACTCCACTTCCCCTGTCCTTTTATTCATCCCCCCTTACCTGTTTTGCAGGGTCTTCTTCATAAAATCTACTCACCAGCACTGTCCTGCTGCAATCTGCTGCTCAGCTGCCACATGCTGGGTCGCACGCCGCATCTTCCCTTTCTATGTCACTGGGAGCCAGCTGTCTCTTCTGGGTTTTTCTAATCAGCCCTTGACACTTTGCTAGGTCTGCCCTCTGGATGCTGTGCGTCCGTGTTGGAGCAGGACACTTCATTTTCGTCTAGGCGAGAATGGAGGCAGGGGGGTGGGCTGAAGTCTAAAAATGTTGGCAAACAGCAACTATGGTCTTCTAGTAATGCTTACTATAGTGTCATTCGTATAGTAAATATGTGCTCTTACTGTATATGCCCTGTGTACTGTGTTCTTTAGCTGTGTGTTGTGTGCACTTTAACTAAAGCTGTCTATTCTTTGGCATTGTTGCCGTGTCTGGTTGCAGTCTGTCTGTGTATTGTGACTGTGCAATGTGATTTGAATGTGATGCTCTGTCTGTGTGTTTTCAACTATGTCCTGTCTGCATATTCTCTGTTTTTTGCTCCAACTGCTTTTGTGCTTTGATTGTGTGCTTTGTCTGTGTGTGCTTTGACTATATGTGTGCTTATCTTGTATGCCTGACTTGAATGCAAGTGTGCTCTGACTGTGTGCATTCTGCCTGTGTGTTCTCTGACTCCATGTGTTCTTGGTAAGTGTGTGAGTCTGCTTTTCATTGAGTCTGTGTGTGTACATATGCTCTACTTATCAAAAATCTTTTTTTCTCACCAAAAGTGAAAATATATATATATATTCTGCCAACATGCATGTCTATAAGCACAAAATATTCTCTTTTGTTGTTTAGCCTTTTGGTAGGGTCCAATTGTAGACATTGGCACCCAAGAACTATTTATCAACAATTGTTTATAGGGAAAGGTATAAACACCTATGAGGTTATTTCCCTCTGTTCTAGTGACTGTGGCCACCAGCACATACAGAGGAGTGACTCTCCCCAGTGGGTACACAAACTGCAAAAAAAATTGACAAAGTTCCTAACCCTTTGCCTTTACTTAGACTTAAAGCTGTAAATTGCT